AACTATGTTATAACAGAATGATTTGATATACCATTTTTCTTTCTGCAAAATGTGTGTAAAATGAACGGCCATAAACGGGTTTTCTCATTATATATAATGCATCTATAAACTAAATCTAATTTGCATATTAATGTGTTTTTGGGGCAAAAAAAGAAGTGTAATAATGGGAGTAATATTTGACAAGATTTTCATAACAATATATAATATTTCATAGAATATTGAAACATTATTTCTTTCCCTATTCATTTGTTATGTCTCCCAAAATGCTAATAAACATGCTTTTAGTCATTTATGAGTCATATATGAGGACATGTATGAAATCAACATCCTGTTTTGTAACAGAAAGTCATATTTTGATTTGAAACCCCAGAACATTTTCCCGAGATGTTGATTTATGACAGACAGTTTAAAAATTAGACAGACTTAAATGATAATTACAAAATATTATCATATTTGCATAAGAGTGTCACTAAATTAATATCAGACATATCTGAAGACCAAGGAGAGGGAGTGGTCATGGTGAAATATCCAAACTTTTAGTATCTCTGTAAAGCCCTGAATGTGCTCTGTACAGGACATCCAGATATTAAAACTGGCATGTATAGTCTCAGAGAAATACACCAAAATATAATGTCCTCATATGAGGTCACAGGGTCTCAGGAGGATAGACAGAATTTCTTCAAGGTCCTCGTGTTTGCTTAGTGTAAATGCACAGTCCAGTGTCTCATGACAGCTGCAATTTGAATAGACTGCAACAAGGTTTGGAGCAGCCTCTGTCAGGTAGACAGTATGTACAGTAACTGTGCTTTTGTATATTATCTTTTCAGAAGGAAGTTCCACTGACAGAGTCACATCCGTATCTCAGTCAGAGAGTGATCCTCTACTTTGACCTGGACTGCTTCTATGCACAAGGTGAGATGATCCGAAATCCAGCCCTTCGGACCAAACCTCTTGGTAAAACACCACAGAATATTACAACTTTAAGTCACCTTTATTTATATAGCGCTTTTAACAATACAGATTGTGTCAAAGCAACTGAACAGCATTAATTAGGAAAATAGTATGTCAATAATGCAAAATGACAATAGTAAACACTAATTTTTCAGTTAAAGACCTGAATTCATCATTGAATTCAGTGATGTCAACATCCAGCTCAGTTCAGGTTTTCTCATTATATATAATGCATCTATAAACTAAATCTAATTTGCATATTAATGTGTTTTTGGGGCAAAAAAAGAAGTGTAATAATGGGAGTAATATTTGACAAGATTTTCATAACAATATATAATATTTCATAGAATATTGAAACATTATTTCTTTCCCTATTCATTTGTTATGTCTCCCAAAATGCTAATAAACATGCTTTTAGTCATTTATGAGTCATATATGAGGACATGTATGAAATCAACATCCTGTTTTGTAACAGAAAGTCATATTTTGATTTGAAACCCCAGAACATTTTCCCGAGATGTTGATTTATGACAGACAGTTTAAAAATTAGACAGACTTAAATGATAATTACAAAATATTATCATATTTGCATAAGAGTGTCACTAAATTAATATCAGACATATCTGAAGACCAAGGAGAGGGAGTGGTCATGGTGAAATATCCAAACTTTTAGTATCTCTGTAAAGCCCTGAATGTGCTCTGTACAGGACATCCAGATATTAAAACTGGCATGTATAGTCTCAGAGAAATACACCAAAATATAATGTCCTCATATGAGGTCACAGGGTCTCAGGAGGATAGACAGAATTTCTTCAAGGTCCTCGTGTTTGCTTAGTGTAAATGCACAGTCCATGACAGCTTGACAGCTGCAATTTGAATAGACTGCAACAAGGTTTGGAGCAGCCTCTGTCAGGTAGACAGTATGTACAGCTTTTGTATATTTGTATATTATCTTTTCAGAAGGAAGTTCCACTGACAGAGTCACATCCGTATCTCAGTCAGAGAGTGATCCTGCACTTTGACCTGGACTGCTTCTATGCACAAGGTGAGATGATCCGAAATCCAGCCCTTCGGACCAAACCTCTTGGTAAAACACCACAGAATATTACAACTTTAAGTCACCTTTATTTATATAGCGCTTTTAACAATAGTATGTCAATAATGCAAAGTGACAATAGTAAACACTTATTTTTCAGTTAAAGACCTGAATTCATCATTGAATTCAGTGATGTCAACATCCAGCTCAGTTCAGTTTAAATAGTATCTTTGCAATCATTTGCAATCAAGTCAACGATATCGCTGGAAATGAAGTGTCCCCAACTAAGCAAGCCAGAGGCGACAGCGGCAAGGAACCGAAACTCCATCGGTGACAGAATGGAGAAAAAACCTTGGGAGAAACCAGGCTCAGTCGGGGGGCCAGTTCTCCTCTGACCAGACGAAACCAGCAGTTCAATTCCAGGCTGCAGCAAAGTCACATTGTGCAGAGGACTCATCTGGTTCCTGTGGTCTTGTCCCCAGTAGCGGAGTATAGCAGAGTATCCTCTGCGCCGCTGCCGCAAAGCGGTTTTCTATTGTCTATCATTTCACTGTGTGGGGAATTGGCAAATTGGCGCCCCTGCTTGCTGAGAGTAAGCCAGGTTAAAGAGATGGGTCTTTAATCTAGATTTAAACTGCAAGAGTGTGTCTGCCTCCCGAACAATGTTAGGTAGGTTATTCCAGAGTTTGGGCGCTAAATAGTCGAGTCAAGTTTATTTGTACGGCGCTTTTCACCATACAAATCATTGCAAAGCAACTTTACAGCAAATTAAGTTTCTACAATATTTAGTGGTAGTTTATCAGTGGTGACTGT